TTTACTTCTCAACCTGGTGTCAGAGTTTAAGTGTAGTGATCATAATCTATGGGATCTGCTCTGCAATGTTTTATCTGATGATATTAATAGACATGATGTGTGTCTTGCTACCTTTATTCATCTGTGACGATAATGAACCCTGATGCTCTGGCCTGAGGGCAGAGCAGAGTTTGTTTCCTCTTTTCTGGATCATTTTATTGCAACAGAAATATATATTTTTTGTGGATGTGAAATATAACAAACTGAGGAGTTTTCTGAACAGGATTTTGTCCCACCCAATAAAAAAAATGATAATGAGGAGACTTGTCCATCGCATCCAAACTTTTTACCCACATGCAGGTGAAGGACCGAGCTACAAGGCATGACGAGCCTCATGTGGATTTTGAAAATATTAACTTACTTCAAACACAAAGGAGGGAAATCAATTTCCAAAACACAAGAAATGACGTGTTGGGCACATGAAAGCATTCAAAAGCTAGACTCAGTCTATAAAGCTAACAAACCAGCCGATTTAACAAAACTCAACTGACCGGTCATAATTTTTCTTCCTCAATGTTTATTGGCGGTTGGCAAACCAGCTTAGAGACATTACCACCAACAACTGGACTGTGGAAGGGGCAATAAAAACAGGATCTATACAGAATGAGAAATAAAACACACAATCAAATTAACAAAGAAAACTTATATATAAAATATAAAATTTGTATAACTAAATTAGTTACAGACCTACACATGTTAATGCCACTGCTGCTTTTCCATTTGTCAACCTACCAGAGAAATAAATGGATGATCAACCCAATTACACACAAAGGGGAGAAGACAAAACACATTCACATTAACTAACAACAAAAGAAACAGGATAGTTGGTGTATAATTCAATATTATAGAATAATTTCAAACAAACTCTCTATTAATCAAAGCAAAATATCGAAAAACCAAAATTAAGTTTAATGAAACACACAAAATATCTTAAGTAAATCTCCCCCCGATGTGGTGGGCACTTGGTACAGCCTAATTGGCACCTCCTCTATTTAAGTCCACTGCTGTGTGGGTGTCACCTGTTTGCCACATGACCCTGGCAGTGGGACCCAGGAAACCTTCTCAGTGCTGGTAAAACCAAACAGAAAACTAGAACTTGCTGTAGTGAGATTTGTCAAACAATTTGAAAGACAGAAAGGTGACATGGTGGAATGACTTTAAATGACCATAAGCCAAATGTAGCTGTTGTGTAGATTGTGGTGTAGACAGTAAATTCCCACTGCACCTCTCATGCTAGAGGCCTCCTAAAGAAACCACTCAGAGATTTAGCTGAGAAGATATTATTGAACTGATGTAGCATGATTCTGAGCATCTGTTATGACCAAATTCAAGTTGTGTGAAGATGTGCCACCATGTTTTTTTCTCCACTCAGCATGTGTGTGGCCTGGGGTGAGCCAAGAAAACACGTTTTCTGCTTTCGACAGAAATTAGTTCCCGTTTTGTGGGTTGAGGGAATTTCACTACTTACAAAATCCAATTTCTCAAAACAAATGTCGACACATCTCTGCAACACAGCGGAGATTAATGTTATTTCATTTTAATGGCAGTATCTCACACTTGCACCAGTTGATGCTCCCACAAACTTTTTTTTTACCTATACTTGGAGGTAAAATTAAAATGTTTGTAGGAGCATCAACTAATGTTCGTCTTCCAGTATGTGATACGATCTAATCTCTGTTGCTGTGGATATTTCACAAAACACAAAAGCATTTTTACTGAACTTTTTCACTATCTCTTTGGAGGAAAGTAGATCCTGACCTGGGTGTGGGGAGGTTCAGGAATATCTAGGGACAGAGATTTTCAGTGTTGTGGTTATCACATAGTCAGTTTCCCTTCTAATTTCTGTATTTTTTATTTATTATAGTTTTTATAATTTTCCTCTTACTTTTTTACATCTGGTATAGTCTGTTACTGATGCCTTGCTGCTGTGTCACAGGAATTTTAGTCTATCTCTGTCTGTCTCTCTCTTTCTCTGTCTCTTTCTCTCACAATTTCTATCTCTGTCTATTTCTGTCTTTGTCTGCTTTCTCTCTTTATCACTCCCTCTGTCTCTCTTTCTATCTCTATCCATATTGTATTCAATTGGAATCATAAATGATCTATTGATAGGCCTTTGCTGTAGTAGGACTAAGAGAGAAAAAATTATCTTGTTATTTGGTTGAACTGACTGCGAACAGCTGAACTCATCTAACCACTAGATGGCACTAAATGCTTTATTGTGATGCTCCTGGTGCATTGTACAGAACTATAACTTACTGACAGCCTAACTTTTCATTACAAACCTATACATCTTGTTTCATCGAGACTTGCATCAATCATTTCAGAATTTACCCTCTGAATTAGCTGCTCGGCCACACTTTTGAACATAATGAGTTAACTGCACTGTGATAGGTTCATGGAACACGACGCAGCCTGATTATGACCCATTAACACCTACAGCATGAGGCGTTTAAAGACCCCAAGGCCCCAAGTTAACTTGACCACACATCTTTTCATTCCTGCTGTCTCCTTCTATTTGAGAGAGAGGAAACGGATCTGCCAGCAGCTCTTCTTTGGAGCGTAGTGAGGCACAACACTTGACTTGACAAATGAGATTGCGTCTAGGCTGTTAGATGTGTGGGGGACACTGTTACAGGATGGGATTCAGGGCGATCGCTAAACCACACAGACATTTAAATGTTGTTGAACAGTTTGTGATATTTACTTAAGAATCTCGGAGCAGTGCCACAGTTTGAAACAGGAAGAGCTGAAATCGCTTTAATCAACAAACTTTAATCATCTCTGTTAGTGAAGCTAAGTGTCCATTAGCTGCTCAAAGACTTTAACATGCAGGCGTATAAACAGTGGAAAGAATTTATTATTGCAGTGGTACTAGAGCCCTGAATAGCAACTTGTGCAGAGTGGCATTCACATGAAATTAAGATCCCAGCTGTTTGACATCAGGGACGACTCCGATGACATGTTGTTAGAGATTAATGATGGGTTTAGTTAATGTATAAACTTCGACATCACACACACTCCCTTCCTTCTCCAGACTAGGACACATTTTAAGTTAAGATGATAACTAACTCTTGTACATTTAAACATCTTCCAAAATGAATTAATTGACGATAAATTGCCAACCAGCAGCAGACGTCAAGTGGACATTATCAGTTGTGTACCTGTCAGAGTCAGCTTTGTAATCACATTCATTTGGTGTTTAACCTGCCTTTGTACGTACACATATTTCGAATGTATTCATGTTTTTATTTCCTTTGCTGTGCTACTCATTTTCCTGACTTTAGGTTTATCTTTCTGTCAATCTCAGGACCCATCATCGGTCGTGGACCCAAGGATCATAGGATGTTTTGGCCATCGTCACTTCACCTCTCCAGAGGTAGGCCTTGCCAGGGTTGAGAAAGTCCCGGGGCGTGTCCCATAGCAAATCATGAGCTTATAATTTGTAGTTTCCCTTCTCTAGAAATTATAATTATTATCAAAGCTGGATCTCATTTTCTTTGTACTTAAAGTAAAACACTGAGTGATAATAATCCTTTAGCTTTTTTCACGTTGCATGTGCTGCTGCCAAATAATACATCTTCGACTCAAAATCCTGAGCTTAATGTGATATAGCAACATGATTACAATGAGTCCTGTGGTGAAGGTGCAGAGAGAACATTGGCTTCTGGGAGATAATGTGTTTAACTTGGTTTTGTAAAAGGCAGCTGGTT